CTGTGTTTTTGAAAAAAATCATTTGAATCAAAATTTTTTATTTGATAAAAATAATTCGTAATTTTATTGCAAGCTTCATTAACTATGAACATTGGATCAATGACAGTTTGCTGAGAGTTAAGCGTCTAACAATTGATGAATTAAATTTTGTTTGCAGGTATATGTATAATAGCTGCAGCTAAATAATTTGTTAATGTCTTGCCACAATGGCTGCATGCTCGTATTTAGTACATTTAGAGTCAATTCGATGGGAACATGGTACAATTTAATTTCATAGCCTGGCGAAAAATCGTTAAAATTCAATATGAATTGCCTTTTTATTTTCACAGTATATGTAGGTGCGGCGACGCACTCTATCTAGAAATATACAAACGGGGAAGAGTGCAGTTTCAATCCTGAAATTATGATCATTCGTCGTAGACCCCATGTAAAATATACGGGCATGTTCTGGCATTCACTTCAACGGCAGAAGGGTATCGAACACACGCCGAGGTGTTCTGTAACACACTTTACACCCATTTACATTTTCATAGTGATAGTCGGGTGTCATGAACACACCCTATATAAAAGAAACCCTTTTTTGAAATAAAAAAGACACTTGATGATAGATTAATGTGTTATTATTGCGTATAATTTGTTTAAAATCACAAAATTAAGATGAAACGTCATAAAAAAACCAATATTAAATAGATGCTTAGGTTTGTGTTGCATTTATTCCGAATGAATCTCTCGCTTGACACACACAGCTGATTTGCAACAATATCGTACACGATAGGGTTACCAAATCTTCCCCTTAAATCAATCAACAAATTAATGATATTTAAGAATCTTTCATACATATATTTTATGTCGCTAATAATAAAATATTAAAAAAGAATAATAAAATGATCGTTAGAATTTACGAAATTACTAAAAAATAACAGAAACCATGTTAAACGAATGCAGAACAGGAGGTAAATTCTGAGGTGATGTGTATGTATGAAGTGAAACGAACACGTCGTGAGTTCGTCCCGATATACTTGATCAGAGTAAAATTCTACGTCGATTTAACCATGTCCGTCTGTCTGTTAGATATAGAGCTTAAACCCTTTGAACCCCGATTTTTTCCGTGACCATAGAACGATTTTCTGTGGACAGATTAAATGCAACCTATCATAAGTAAGATATGAACAAAATTTGACCTCATCCTAACGTTCCGGAGATTCAGTGCATTATTTCTGACAAATAAAAGTCCAATATCAAAGAAAGCAAATGGATTATCGGCGAAAAAATCACTGAAATTACTCTTTAGATTGATTTTCACAAGAATGAAACAAACAATGTTGAAGGTACAATTCAAATACGAAGCGATTTAAAAAATTTGGGCTGTATACACAAATTGTTACTGTATAAATGTTTGCCCTATTCTTTATATTGAAAAGAGCATAACTTGACCAACATTTTTTAATTTTTAGATTTTTCTGTATACACAAATTGCTACTGTAAACATTTTTGCCATCTTCTACATATTGAAAAACGCAAAACTTGCCAATTTTTTTATTTATATATATTTTTTTAATTTTTCTTTTGATGTATGTCAGGTCCATTTTGGATACTAGAAAAGGTGACAAAAGTACCGATCGATTTTATCTATTTTGAATATCCATCTCATGGAGGCGTGTATAAAAAGTTCGGCCCGACAGAAACTAAAGACGTATTAACATGTTTCAATTATTATTTATTCATATGAAGATACACACAATCCGCAAAAAGCTATACACAATGGATATTTCATTATTGAGACTGTTACTATATACTCTTCTAGAAAAAATGCTTTTGTGACCAGCTGAATATTAAGAATTCAATGAAATTTTTATCAATATTTGAACTTGTTCCAAAGAATGAATAATAAGTTTATATTTGGTATGTTCCCCAGATTTAAATATTTTCATCGATATCATAATGGAAAATACGTTATCGTAATATAGAGTAGTAGATTCTTGCAGTACGGTAACAGACCAATTGTTTGAATTTTTCCTTATCGATTCTATGTTTAATAAATCATTTTCCAGGGATTGAGCATCGTTTGAAAAATCTACATCTTGAAATGTGTGTAGATTTATTCTGGGCTCTAATACATTTTCTTTTGTAAAACGTTGCAGACGTTTGTATGTTCTATATAAAAATCCCTTTGGTAATGAATGCAGAAAATATCTGAAAACGTGTCTGTATTGTTTGTTCAGTACTTCTTCCAACCAATTCAACACGATTCTGAACAATTTAATTGTTGACCTCAACCACACGACACTCGGCCATATTCGGATTAAACTACTCATTAGGACATCGGAAAATTTGATATTTCAGTTGCATACAAATATTACTTACATATGCATCATTTTCGAAAGTTTCCTCTAACAAAAATAAATGCGTTTTCTAATACTAATGAATATGGCAAACGGTAATAAGATAAAATTTATTAATGAACAAAACAACACAACTTTAAAACAAATTCAATCTAACTAAGCTACATTTCTACTTTAACAAATAAAAAAACATGCATAAAAAACAACAAAAATACTAAAACAACAACAACTATACTAAATGAAAATCTAAAAAAAATAATAATATCGCTATTGTGGAACACATTTTTTTACTTATACATTTATATTTTTTAAATAAAAACCAAAACTTAATATTATTCAATTTTATGAATTTAATTATACATACAATATTTAAAGAAATAAATAAAAAATTATATATTGAATAAAGTAATAAGAACAGCAACAAACAACAAATCCAACTTATTAATTAATAATATAAATTTAAATATAAAAAATAAATTAAATAAAAAAGAAGATATATAAGTTTATGGAGAATACATTACAAATAACAACAAAGCAAAACAAAGCCAAGTGAATAAGAAAAAAACGGATACAACAACAAGTCTAACATTACAAAAAAATTCAATAAAACATTTAAAATACAAAACACCAATATTTGTATTTTTTATTTATTTATTCCACAAATCCATTTTTTTGTTTCAAACTCTATAAGAATCTACTACTTTTTTTAAGTTTTTTTTATATATGTATATACATATATATTTAACATAGAAAGTAGAAATTCCGCTATTGTAAAAGGATCGTTAAAAATTATGACAGTCACGATTTATTATTTTCTTGTATCGGGAAAAGAGAAGAGATGTTTTGGATAACAGAATTGGTTTACATTTTCCGAAGTGAATAATCTTGGGATCTTTATGTAAGGAACATAGCTGAGAAGTAGACCAATGTCGACTATGCTTTCTAAGGATATTTTGCAACCCATAGGCTACAAGAAAGCCACAAGAAATAGTAAATTGCAGCCAGTTTTGGAGGCGAAATTTCGTAAAATTACAAAAAAATTAAAAAGTGGGTTTCTTTATATTGGGAACACCTAGAAACAGAACCCAAAATATCAAATTACAGCCAATTCGGTTTCAAAACGTGTCCAGAAACCCTGAAAATATCAAAATAAAAAATTTTAATATTTTTTAGGGAAATTTGTTACCCAATTTGAACTCAAAATATAAATAAACAGATAATTCGTTTGGAAAATGTGTCTAAAATCCGGAAAATACCGGAAATTTGGGCAGTTATATGGTTTTTCCTGCTACAATTCGAATTTTTTCACTGAAATTCCATAAAATGTATTTATTAATTTCTTTTAATTTACAAAAAAAGATGACAATGGTGACATACTATAGAAATAAATGACTGATAGAGGACATAAATTTTATAGATGACAGCCAGTTTATGATTGTCCTCTAAAAAGGAGGACATATTGGCTCGCGTTGTGTGGTATATGACACCGTCTTGTTTGAAACCACATATTCTCCAAGCTGTTTTCTTCAATAGCAAACCATAATCTCCTCTTAAAACACTATCAGTCTTATTCTGAATATTCGCTAGGGAGATTTCTCTCATGTAAACAATGTTTCGCATTCACATTCTCGCCTTATTCTGAATGAATAGGGAAAAGCAAAGAATGCGAGATGCGGATTCGAATTTTCGAAAATTGTGGTTAAAAAAAGATTCGTGTTGCCATAAAAGAACAACTTTCAACGATGTCAAAGACACAACGAAGTATTGGGAAGAAATCTGCTTTTAAATTTTCCTTACATAATTGTGTGCCGTTTTATTTAATTTCGATATTAAAATATTCCCTATTACCTTCATACATTCCGTGGTTGAGCTTGCATCGTTATCAATAGAATTCCCAATGACATTTAATTTGTTGTTTTCCAGTTAAAAATTTGCATACAATCATTTATAATATTCTAAATCGTCATATTGTGTAGATATTTTTCAAAAAAATAATTATTACTTATGTTTTTGTAGTCAGCTCCTTTAAATTTATTAGCGAAAAATTTCGCACAAAATGTCATCACGTTCTCCTACTCCCTGTAATCCAGAATAACTAATTTTCCCCCAAAGTGGATTTTTTCGCTTTCGAACTCTATTCAGAATAAGACGAAAGCGAAAATGCGAAAAATTCACTGTGAAATGTTCACGTGGAATTGACATCCGGAATGAGGCTGTATATGTGGCTGTGGCATAATCACCACTTTTGTAGTAGATTTTGAAAATTTGTGTGATAGTTAAGCGCTTAATTTACGTCAATAACAGTTTGACATACGTGGAATTGCAGTCACATTTTAAAACCACGAAACGGATAACCCTTCATAAGATGTTCACGTAACAGAGTATTTAATTCTAACGGCAAAAATCGCCGATCTGAAGTTCAATTGAACGATTCACCTGAAAGAGCAACAGAACTAAGTTTGAGGCTTTTATGCACTGCAAAATGATTATTCGAGCGCTATTCACCTTTAAATGATTACCCGCGCTCCTTTCCGAACGTCAGAACTCTTTTATTTTCTTGAATTTGTAAACAGTCGCACGTGTATTTTATTCTGTTATTTTTCTTGAGCAACATTTGTTGAATTAAATATACTTTCAGTGTAAAGTATATTTGGAAATATGAGTGTCAATATGGAAATAATTGTTGGCACCTACGAGGAGTTCTTGTTGGGCTACAAAATTGATGTTAAGGTAGGTTTTTTATACATACACATTTTATTGTATCGCAGATAGTGTGTAACTTGTCGCTTGTTTATTTTTACTTTTAGGACGACAAGCCGGCTATTATCCAAACATTTGCTGATAAATCCCATTCAGGATCTATAAGATGTGTAGCGGTTAAAGATCAATGGGTGGCCAGCGGTGCTACAGATGATCGTATATTTATTTATGATATGAGTACAAGAAAACAGGCACAGGTAAGTCCCAAAGAAACTAAAGAATGATCATTTACGGGCATATAAAGTTATGAGACTATACATTTCGGAACTTCAGAGGCAACCTTCCGGGAAGTATAGATTTGCCCATAAAAGTCATATCTATATTCGTGAACCCTGAAGTCAACATGTTCTAAAGGAGGCTTCAAGTAATTGAAAGTCATCAAAACCTGGAAACTTTATTGGAATTGTATCGCATATTCACTTTTTTTTCTGTATTAATAATTATTTTCTCTTCCAGATTTTACTTTCCCATGATGGCACAGTTAACTCCTTGGCATTCACACCAGATGGTACTCACCTCTTATCAGCTGCCGACGACGGACGCATGGTCGCCACTCGCTTAAAAACATGGTTTAATGATGCTACATGGAAGAAAGCCCACAGTGGTTCAGCTGTCACACATGTCAGTTGTCATCCAAGTGGTAAACTGGCCTTATCCCTAGGCTCAGATTTAGTATTGCGAACATGGAATTTGGTTAAGGGACGAGTGGCTTATAAAACGAATCTTAAAAGTCGTAATACTTTGGGCTTTCAACCAGATTGTTTAACATGGTCACCGACTGGAGATTATTTTACTTTATCTGGACAAAGAATTGTTGAATTCTGGTCCATCAAGACAGCAGATGTTGTACGTTCACAAAAGACAAAATCGAAGCCAATATGTTTGGCATGGATTGCAGATGATGTATGTCTAGTCGGTCTGGAAGATGGTAAAATTTTGTGGCTAAACGTTGATAATGAAGAAGAAAAGGTAATATAAATTGCATTTTAAAATGCAATTACATTATATAAATATAAACTTTTTAAATATGTAATCTAAATTTTTGTTTCCAGGAAATTGTTGCTCACAATAGCCGTGTAAAAGCTATGACTGTATTCAAAGAGAATCTTGTTACAGCTTCAAGGTAAGCACGTCATAACTAATATGTCAGAAGATTATTCTCGTTTCAACTATTTTTGATCCTTTTTTAGTTCGGGTGAAATCAAAGTATGGCAAATTGTACAAAATAAACAAAAGATAAAGGAAATCGCCTCTACTAACATTGGATGTCGTCCAACATGTCTGAGTGTATTGGATTTAGAACAATTTGGAAGCAGTTATGTGATCAGTAGCACAATTGAAGAAGTCAAAGATATCAAGCCAATAAAACCAAAAGTTAAGCCTGTCCCAAGGGGAGTTGTTACAATTGAATATGACGAAGAGGACGATTCAAAAGCCGACAATAATGAAGATGAGGAAGAGGAAGAAAGTGAAGATGATGACAATGATGATTCTGAAAATGATGCTGACAGTGTTGCTGAAGAAGATAATGACAATGCAGAAGAGGAAGAAAATGACGACGACGAAGATGAAGAAGTTGAAGAGAATGATTCAAGTGACCAAGAAGATAGTGACGACAGTGATGAAGAGGAAGAAAATCCTGAACCAGTAGTACGTCTTCCTAAGTCACGTAAACATAAATTGCAAATATTGAAAAATCAGCAAAAAGGAAATAAAAAACCTAAAGTAGATAACTCGTTGAAACAACAGCAGAAACCAAATTTTTCAAAACAAAAAAAGAATAATAAAAAATTTAAAAAGTAAGATGGGAATAGTTTTTTTATTTTGTAGTATTCATGTTATAATTATTACAAGGTGTAGGGCATAGCTACCAACTGGTAAATATTTTTTCAATAAAAACCAATATATTGTGATAAAATGTTTTGGTTTGGTATAGTTTTTAGCCGACATCTTGAAGGCCAACAGATCTTTCTCAGTTGTTTTTTTTTTTCAAGAAATAGGAACTGAATATACCCGCAAACGTATTCCATAATATATAATTCCTTTGACACACTGCAAATTTAAATTGAAATACAGTCGAATTCGGTTAAGCGAAAACGCTGTATTTCAGATTTTTTTCTCTTAAGCAGGATTTTCAATTAAAAGAACTTCGGATAAGCGAAACTCATTGCACTTAAACGAAGTTTTCAATCAATATCTGAAAAATCATGAAATTTATAAAAAATATAAAAATGAATTGAGTAATAACTTATTTTTTTGTAGACATTTGCTTGAATGGTTGGAAAATGTGCAACATAATTTTAGGGTTGTACATAAAAATTTTAATGAATTTCGTCGCCCTTTCAAAAATTACATTTGTTCTCTTAAACGGTGCTCGTTTCATATATATTTGTGTTTTTACAACAAAAAAGTCTTTCTCTTATACAGATTTTCAATTAACCGGTCATTCTTTTAAGCGAAGTAAAAAGTTTGAAAATCCATCGGAAATATTAGTTTAAAATTAGTTTAAAATAAACCGGCGTTCGCTTATCCGAATTCGACTGTATATTCAAAATTAAAAAAAAAAAAAAAACACTTCAAGTATTCCCTACTGCATTTTGGGAAGAAACCATAACCTTTCATTCTTTTTTTTTTGCATTTTTAGTTTTGTGTTGAAAAAATGTCAAAAACATCCACTTGTTGCGAATATTTTTTATATAATATTTGACGGACGAAGTCACTACCTCAAGTTGACCTACGTTACTTTATTGTACCATGGTAGTTAGAAATTGGAATTTAAAATTAATTTTTTTCTTGATTGGAGACCTGACGGGGAAGTTACATACCTACCATTGTTTAGCTTTTTCCATAAATAAAAATATTTAATAAAGAAATATAAAACGAGTGTTTCTAATTAGCGGAATTTTTCTTTTCCATAGAAGATACAGTTCAGTTCACAGATAACCGAATTAGTTTATTAAAACAATTTGACATCCCTACACCATGCATTCAGTCTTTTAATGAATTTCTAATATCAAAACTGCAAAAATTATTGATTAGGATCTTATTGACAATAATCAAAAATAATTTTGAATGTAGAATCAATAAAATACGAAAACAAAACGTTGCGAAAAAGTTATACATTTTTTCAAGTTCTGGAACAGACATAAAAAGTGTCTGGTTACTTTTCCAGTAACATTTATTCAGTAAGTTCTAGTTCAGAGAGTAAGCCGTTTTTACTCTCTTTTCCGATAGTACTGAGAAAAGTAAACAGACAAAATTTAGTAAGATTTAGCAAATAAACAGCTGATTCAAGAAAACATTTGATTTGCGCCAAAATAAACAAACAAACAAAGGACAAACACAATTATTTGTATTAGGTTCGTTCGTTTACTTTCCCAGTAATATTTACTCAGTAAGAATTTGCAGAGAGTAAATACGAATTTTTCCTTTTCAAGAGAGAAAACTGCAAAAAGTAAACGAACAACATCCAGTAAAAAGATTGTTTCGACACAGCTGATTAAAACAACAAACAAATTGGCGCAAACTAAAAAACAGCATTTTTATTAGAAAAATGGATAACAAGCGGAAAATTGATGTTGTTTGTTCCCCACAAACATTTAAAAGGGTTGTGACCTGTTATTCCTGTATCTGCAATTGATATGGGGGTGGACATAACCGATGGTGTTCCAGACATGTTAGGGATGCACTTTTTTGTTTGGATTTGGAACCTAAAAAATCGTTCGCCAATTACTCTTGTATTACCTTATTTTTAAATACTTGCGTTTTCTTCATCCAATTTTGTATTTAATGATACAAAATCAAAATAAAATTCACAAAACAATCAATTTTCTTGAGAACAATTTTTTGTTTGTTTACAAAACATAACAAAACAGCTGATTAAATATCAGCTGATGGTACAAGAAAATTCTTACTGAGTAAATTTTCCTTGTAAGAATTTGCAAATACTCAGTAACACAACTGTCAAATCTGCTCTCTCAATTCGCTCTCTTTTACTGGACTTTTGGGTAAACGAACAACATTTTGTAATAATTTGTACAAATTCGTACAAATTATTGAGTAAACGAACGAACCTATTGTATTTAATATTAAAAATAAAATGAACAATAAAAGAAAAATTGATTTGGTATGTTTCCCGGAAACATTTAAGCATCCTGCATCAATACATTGCCCTCTATCTGGAACTTGCCTAAAAATATATAACGAATTAGTTTCTAATTTAATGAAACTTTGCATTACTTAGGAATTTTCTTCCATTTTCAGTTATTTTTATATAACTTAACTTCAAATTGAACTTTGTAAATTAAAAAAATGTTTTGAATAGTTTTTGTGTTTTTGGTCATAAAACAGCTGATCCAAAAATGCTGAGTTTGCAAAATCTTACTGCATAAAATTAATTCAGTAAACTCCAGTAAGTTTGTTGTTGTTCAACTGTCAAACTTGCTCTCTCACTTGACTCTCTTTTACTGGATTTTTGTGTAAACAGACAACATTTAGTAACAATTGTTACCAAATATCGAGTAAACAGACAGAGCTATAAACAGCCTTATGCTTGATATTCGCTAGGGAGATTTCTCGCATGTAAAAAATGTTTCGCTTTCACATTCTCGCCTTATTCTAAATGAATGGGGAGAAGCAAAGAATGCGAGATGCGGATCTAAATTTTCGAAAATAGTGGTTTAAAAAAAAAAGAATTTTTGAAAATGGAGATTGAAAAAAAGATTCGTGTTGCCATATTGCAATTTAAGTTGTAATGTTTGTTGCCATATTGTAATTAAATTTTGTAATAACACTTTTTACTAACACCTTAAAAGTACACTTTTTATGATGGCAAAAACCACATTACACGATGTCAAAGACACAATGAATAATGGGAAGAAATTAAATTAAAATTTCTATATTTTATTTCTCCTTTATTTTGTCCTTCAAATCATATTCAGTGGCATCAGGCAAATTTGCCTTTGTGATATTTCCATCATTTTTAATATATTTTGTTGAAGGGACAAATCCTCACCCAAAATGTTTTCATTTTGCCTCCAAAATGCCTCAAACACAGCTTAAATATTTCTTATTACCTTTATAGGAGGTGATTACACTGACGAGTATATTACGAATCTATACCTAAATTATTCCGAACACTAATTTTAATAGAGATCATAATAGGTGTGTCTGGTTACTTTTCCAGCCGTTTTTACTCTCTTTTGCGATAATACTGATTTCTTTGTTTTGAATAATAAAACAGCTGATCCAAAAACGTTGAGTTTGCAAAATCTTACTGAATAAAATTCTTTCAGTAAACTCCAGTAAGTTTTTTGTTGTTTAACTGTTAAACTTGCTTTCTCACTTGACTCTCTTTTACTGGATTTTTGTGTAAACAAAAAACTGGTATGTTCCCGTACTGCAAGAATCTACAATTTTTTACTCCGATAACACTTTTTTCCTTTATGATATCGAAGAAAATAGTAAAATTGAGTAGATTCTTGCAGTACGGGAACAGACCAAACATTTAGTAACATTTGGTAACAATTGTTACCAAATATCGAGTAAACAGACAGAGCTAATTTCTCTCTGTGTACTAGTATACTATAAATTATCGTACATCGATATATCGGGAAAACAACAGTTATATTTCAAACATTTCAAACTGACATATGAGTTCCACACAAAAAAACTTAACCATTTCGAAATAAATGGACGATCATATTTTTAATAGAATTCTATAATGACCAATTTGAATTTATTGATCTTTTTACTGCCTTTTTTAATAAAAATAACTACAGGCGAAGATGTTTTGGATCAAATTCCAACGGTTGCAAAAGCTCCCGACAAATTCAAAGGTAAATAATTCTAGCTAAAATATATGTATGTATGTGTGTTTGTAATGGGTTAATAATATTGTTTTTGTTTTATTTTATTTCTTTTTGTAGTACATTTTTTGGAAGCCAACTCTACGTACGATTTTAAGCCAACAAAACGTGGTTTCTTTGAAAAACATTTAAACACCTACTGCTATGCTGGAGAATCGAAAACATTGGGACGTCTCTTAGAGTCAATTGAACTGGTTTTGGAAATCGAAGGAGATGATTATACTCAATATGAAGGCACAACGCCACAAGAAGTTGAGGAACACTACAATGATCATCGTTCGCTTTTCAGTTTTAATTTATTCTCCCAGAAACGTTCCCGCCTCTCCCTTTCACCCTTCATGCAACAGTGTATTGGCATTGAAACGGTACAACCGTATAAAGTCCATCTATTCCACGAAAAAGTGGATTATGTACGACTAATGTTGTTGCTCAGTGGTATCGCGATATTCCTCTTCTCCGGTATTCTAAGTACAAATGCAATTTTTTACTATATGACAGGAATTATTATTGGCATTTGTTCGTCATTTCTGTTACTAATATGGCTGTCGGGGAAGTTGATGCCAAGGTATGGAGTATGCAGGAATGTAGGAGGCATTTCAGAGATCCGGTAAAATGTTTTATATTTCTTTCCAGACGTGCCATGATGTATGGCGTATTAATTGGTGGATGGACCGTGGGTATTTATGTCATTCGCATGCTTTGGGATAATATACAAATGATCATGATGACCTATCATAATTATGTATGCTGGTACATCATAATCACTGGTCTCATATCGTTCTTCTTGTGCTATCGTTGGGGTCCACCGAAAAATCGTCGCTCGAAGAATATTATCAAATGGCTGCTTCAACTAATGTCTTTGGCTTTGATATATTTCTCAAGTAATTTCAAGGAAGCCATTATAGCTGTTATACTCATGACCATTATTTTATATTACTTTCCACGTGTCCTGCGTAATATAATGTGTTTCAGAGGCAAAAAATCATCGTCATCAGGGATGATGGACAAAAAGGATATACGACATCATGGTAGTGGCAGTTATGTTAAGTCCAAAGAATTGAGAGATGATTGCAAAGAGTGGCGTATAAATAGTCCACAAACTAAAGAGTGGAAGGTAAGTTGGAGAGTGATTTTCGATATACAAAGCTTTATTTGTGATTGTGATGCTGTATGTGGTGATGGATAGTGACCAGAAAGTACTGTGTCTCAGTAGCCACCTGTTTTCAAAGGTTATTTGGAGCTATCCTCAATAATCTTTTTTATAGGGCAGCAATTGAGGTTTGCTACCCTCAAATAATGATAATTTCAAATTGATTCCCCTTTGCTTTTGTCGCTCGTTTTAGATATCTGGCCCTGGGACGGCTGGAAATCACCATATCCATGATATCTACAAACATAATCGGCATTTTTTTTTTTTTTTTTTTTTTTTTGCAAAATGTTACAACTAATTCCGCAATCTGAGATATTGATTGCAATCATTTGAACCCTGACCTTTCATTGTGGGGGTAATTTCTTTAAAATCAAGTTTCCCTAGGATTCTTACAACGAACATAAGTAAAATGTTATCATCCCTAATATTTGGATTAATTTTTTGAGATATTTCGTTCATATATTAATTTTCTCTCTATATATGTATGTGTATATTTTATATATTTTCCAGATTAAATCCAAATCCCGACCATCAATGAATAGTTCACACGCTTCGCGCTCTACTTTCCAATTGGGTGGTGATGACCACGCTTTGGACAATTCCAACTCAAATGCTGATGAAAATCAATCTGAATCCGATATCAGTTTCAATGAAAATAATATATCCAAACAAAAGTTGTATCCCCTGCCAGATGGTTCTTTCATATTGAGTGATAAACGACCAATTATTATAACACCGCGTCAAGCAACACCATCATATCATCGTTCGTCGCCAATGGTCGCATCAGATGCTGGAGAACACGATGATGATGGTGGTGAAAGGGATTTAACGCCAAAACTGCACCAGCATATGCCATTGCCGGCACATACACGTCGTCTAACGGCCGCTTTATCGTGCCAGGAATTGTTTGTGAAAAATCGTCGCAATACACCATCGCCATCTCAATTCCAACGTTCCAGTAGCGCTCAACGTAGTGTTCAATCTCGATCATCTCGTATGGTATCATCGGCTAAAAAGTTACACGGCAGTAATCCAAAAATAAAAGTTTCCAAAGCTGAGACTGATGAAAGTGAGGGTTAAATTAATGTGAAATTTTTTTAAGAATATTATAATTGGAAGGAATTTTAATAAAACTAATATCGAAATGTTTCTTTTAAGGTCTTGATGTTATATTTTTTTTTGCTTAATAAATTGATTTTAAACCACAATAAATGCAAAATTTAATAGATACCTATTTTGATAGACCCTTTAACCAGCAGTGGCCGTTAGTTCGGATAAGCGGGCCGGGCGTATAAGCGAGAGTCATTGGTTGCTACTCAACGGTCATTTAAATAACCTATTTTATCATCGACGGCTACAGTTGGGTAGGATTACCTACCAGCTGGAGAAGAAATTATGAGGAGTAGCAAAGTTTCTCTAGTGGCAAATTCACTTCTACATTCCATCTGAGATAAAGCAACTCTAATGGGGACAAGGTTACAAGTTAGTTGCCAAGGACGTTATTTTCCTCTTTAACTATAACAATCAGCCTTATTCTGGATATTCGCTAGGAAGAGATCTCGCATGTGAACAAATTTTCGCTTTCACATTCTCGCCTTATTCTGATTGAATAGGAAGAAGCAAAAAATGCCAGATGCGGATTTGAATTTTCGAAAATGGTGATTTAACAAAAAACATTCATATTGCCATATTGTAATTTTGTAATATTTTCAATATTTAATTTTTTGATTTTTCTTTTTTTTAATTGTTACTTTCTATTGTTGTTTAAGGGAACCCCCCCCCCATTCTCGATTTGAATTTTTTAAGATTTTCAATGGGCTGGTAAATCAATACCAATGCTTGTTAAGGTTTGTAACTTTGCACATATATAATTGAAGATTTAAAAAAGAAGAAAAATAATTTACAAAAAATTTTTGTTATTGTTTTGTTGTTGTTTTTTGTAATTAAAGAAAAGTCCTTATTTTTGATGGCGGGCATGATAACTCCTCACTGGAACATCGGAATCCGAAAATTCCAACGGTGTTAGAAAGAGTACATGTCTGGCTCTCGTATGAACTAGGATTATTGACTTCGCTCTAAAATTAACAAAATGGTGGACATTTGAAAAAATATTTTTGGAAAATCGCCGATTTTTGACCAAAAACCAAATTAAAAAATAAGGAAGATCTTCACCGATTGGCTTTATCCTAGTTCATACGAGAGCTATACACTCCCAGAGAAACGATGCAAAATTTGGAACCGATTGGATTATTAGTTTTTAAGTTATCGTGCCCGCCATTCGCAAAAAAATGTTTAGAGAAAAACGCGTTTAAAGTTTGAGAAACCCTTTAGCCGTCACTTGATGCTGACACACTAAATCGGATATATCTTCAACAGTTCTTGAGATTTTCACTTGAAATTTTGTAGAGACATTCTTTAATCAGTGTAGATTCGAATTATATCAACAAAAATTTTGACCCCGAGAATGGTGGGGGGGGGTCCCCTTAAACTTTATAACAGTATGAATGTGAACTTCGCTGGAAAACTCCCTTGTAATTAAAAGAAAATGCATTAAAGTTTTAAAATGTGGCAACATACAACGGGATGTGAAAAAGCTGTTTATTGTTTTGATGCAATTTGGTGCAACAACTACAACAGATTACAAATAAAAAAAAAATTTTATGATGGCAAAAACAACATTGAACAATGTCAAAGACACAACGAATAATTGGAAGAAAATTCACAGTTTATTATTGAACTACATAATTGTGTGCCTTTTTATTTAATTTCGATATTTTATCTCCTCAAATTCTTAAAGTGGCCAGTTATTTTATGATATGCTCCTCCTCTTCATGCACGCGATAAATTTGAAAAAAAATATTTTTTTTGTAGCTTTATTATTGTTTTTTCATAATGTTTATTTGAGTTTCTCACGGTTAAGCGACTCATCAGGCAAATTTGGCTCTGAGGGTTTTCCATAATTTTTAATATTTGTTTCCTAGAGAGACAGATCCTCACACAAAATGTCTTTATTTTGCCTTCAAATTGCAACATACTCGGCTTTAATATTCCTTATTGCCTTTATACATTCGTGGCAATACAGTATATATCGGATATAAGCACATCTCATATAAAAAAATCGCATATAAGAAAGATTATCAAAAATACCGAACCTTTTTACATCTCATCAGTTAAAAATTGTTTCAAATAAGAAAAACACTGATATAAGAAATGTTTGTCAAATAAAGGTATTTGAAAACATTTCATATAAGAAAATTTGTAAGATTGTTGGTCAATTTATTAACAATGAAAATGTTTGAAAACATAAAATAAAATACTTTTTTATTGTATTTGAAAGAATATTATTTTTATGAATAGAAACATATTGTAGTCAGTCAGTCCCCAAAACAATTTTTTTCGCTTTCGAACTTGAAAAAATCGCTGTGAGTTCTGGGGGGCTACTCTGTATTGCGATGCGTGAGAAAAATTGTAACGCATCGCGTAATTGGTACTCTCTAATTCGTTTTCGTATCTCCTTTCGCATCTACTTTACGCAAATGTGGCATCACCGCACTCTGTAATACGAAAACGCATGTCAAACTCGTTCGTTAAGCGCAAATATCTTGCGTTAACAAAATAGCAAACGCAAAGGAAGCGAAACATATAAGTAAGCTCCATTAAAGGTTTTATTTATATATAAATTGTAAATTATTTTAAGTAAAAGGCAAAAAAGTCACAGTTACAGACTCAGCAACGTCAGTTCCTAACTTCAGTAGATTTTATGGGGCAACACAGTGATTTGGCAAAGGGACAGTTGCAGAGTTCAAATGCGAAACAACGCGCCAACAATTTGTGGACAAAACTGTCTGATGACCTCAATTCAAATTGACCTCCTGTAAAAGATGTCGGTGGTTGGAAAAAGTAAAATATTATTTTTTTATATAAAATGTGAAACTATGTGTGCATATTTATAGGTTGGTGTTGATAACCACCTTGTCCAAGCAATTTCAAAGCAGCGGCCTCTTTTATTGGAGTTGGAATTGTTGTGGATCTATTTGAAACGACGAGCGTTTGAAAAATACATAAACGAATCTTCTTTATTGAGACATTATATATAAATCTATAAAAATTAAATATTTGAAAACATTTGTCACATAATTCGTACTTATATTTTCATACCCGTGGTCACTTAGGGAGAGTATATTTGATAGATCTCATAAAATTCTTTTTTTTTAATTCGTTCATCATTTTTGTTTAAAAAAAACACTCGTACCACACAAAAATATGTTTTCATTTACAATTTTTTGACGTTTCCTTTTGTCATTCTTCGTTATTGTTTACTTTGTGGCGACAGTGTTGCCCCATTTTCAATTCAGTTTGCGAATGCGTTTGCGTGAACGTTACAGAGTACCAAATTGTACTCTTAACGCATTTAGCTTTCGCATCGCACTTGCTTTCGCAACGCAATACAGAGTAACCCCCCTGGTTTAGAATAACTTTAAAGGGAAGAGCGAACAAATTCTCTGTGAATTGATGTCCACAATAAAGTTGAATATGTACACAACAACCGGGACCCAGGACGATAAAAATGATTTGTTGTATCCAAGAAAGTTGTTACAATGTCGAATGTTTCACCTCTATTATATTTTCAATTCTCAGGATGAATATAATTGGGAATCAGAAACATTCAATCAAACATAGTATCCCTAATAAATATTTTCCAAATCTCGTTGTTTTTAGCTCAAAGCAGATTGATTGTAACAAATTATTCCAAAAACAAACACTCACTTTTTTCTTAAAAATAAATACAACTTTATTTAAATTAAAATTTATCATTTAGACTGTCGACAGTAAAATGAAAAGTTAAAATTATTTCTAATAATTAAAATATTTTGTTGTATATTTTATGAGTTGCTAGATAGTATAAAGTCTCTAATATATATGTATATTTATTTAAAATACATATAAAAACAATTATTTGTATTATTAACAATATTTAATAACAATGTGGACTTGATTGTTTTTGTGTTTTTAACATACAGTAAAAATAACAGTTTCGTGCTCAATTTACAATAACAATAATGTACATATGTAATTATTAAGGTATTATTGAAACCATATACGATGATTACAAATTCATATTTCAATAACATAGAGACAGAAAATGAAAAAAAAATATTATCAATTAAATTCATAACGTATTTAATAGATTTCAATTGTTTAATAAATATTTTTGGGCAGCTTTACTTTCAAAATTTTATTTGATTTATGAATAAGGTCAATTCCAAGGCAAACCCTTTTATAAAATATATATTTACTTAATAACAAAAAATTGTATTGACTTCATTTGTATTAAAAAAACTTTACAAAAGATAAACAAATAGAAATGGAAATCAAATGATTTCACAGCCTTAATTTGTTCAAGACTTTTTTCGATTGCTTAGAAATTGCTTTACTTTCAGTTTTTTATTAATTTCATTACTAACAGTATTGCACATTTGTTGATGAATTGAGGGGAAGTGTGATTAATTAAAAAATAAAATAAGGTATCCATCACTTAAACAAAATAGAGATCTTCATACGATTATTTCTTTTCGAAGAATTCGGGGAATTACAAATGGAGAATTAGAAGACTTAGAATATCCTTTTAATATATATCTGTCACATTAATTTAAATATTTTATATACGACACTCTTGAAATTTTGGATTCTTAATTTAATATCGAACTACCCTAAAAAGGTATAATTAGATGTGAAAAATAAAATACCTGATTTAACAAAAACAATAATAGATTTTTCTTTTAATTTTTATGTGCCGTTTTGCAATCAAGTATAGAAATTTGGAAGGGTTTTTCGAATAAAATTTGATTGTATCAAACTTCTTCGATTTTTTCAATAAACATTTCTTGCACAGGAAAATCTGAAAAAAGTTTTTTTGTGATGGAAGTCTCTAGACGTAGTGGTAGTAGTAGGGGTGGGAAGAAGAAAGGAGATTGATAATTAAACTTATACACTAAACTTTCTAAATCTATAGATAAATATCATTTGATTTTCTAAAACATTTTTGTTATTGTTGTTTTCATTTTTTCAACGTTTGCTGTTAATTAAAAACTAATCCTCTTTTTCAGTGCGATTGGCAGCGACTTCGGCCAGTATGAGTAAATCTGAGGTAGATGATATATTGTCATTTAAGGTATTGGTATTATTGGTCAACGACTCTTTGGACATTTCCGTTTCACCACCTGGTGTGGATAATGCCCGTTGTGATGTTGGTGTCACAGCAGTGACAGCAGCAGTTGTCATTATAGTTGCCGTTGTTGATATCAATGGAATGATTGGTGATGTCGGTTTGCTACTATTAGGGCTTGATGGACTATTCATGTCTTTTGTATTACTCTTATATGATGAGGTAATTGCGGATAATGGCAAAGTGGTAGCTTCTTGATAATAACAACTACCATTAATGGTTACAGGCAGCAGGGAGGCTACTTCTTCTTCAATTGCTGAGACATCGCGGCGTGTAATGCTTTCTTTGCGTGCCTTACGTTTTTGACTACCCACAGCCTGTTGTTGTTGTTTCCGTTGTTGAATTATTCTGGCCTCAAGGGTTCCATAATGAGGCTGTTGATTTTTATTGCCATTTGTCCCCTGACCACCACTAGCCGTGTTGTTGCCACATTTGCTACGTTTCTTGCCACTGGTGGTAAATTTCTTTTTCTTTTTTGTATTACGTTTACGTTGTAAATATTCATCTAAACTTAAGGCTGGAAGTTCTTTGATTTTCTCCTCCAAATCAAAGCTGACCATATCGGGAGAACTTGTATTGGTTGCTTCCGAGTTCAGATCAAAATTATTTCTCCTATCCATTTGCATACTGGCATTATTGTTGTTGTTATTCGCATTTACAATTGATTGATTGTTGACTTCATTGGCATATCTATGACCACCCATCATGATTGGGGTATCCGAAGAACAACACATATTAGATTGTTGGCTAGACAGCTCTGTGGTAAAACGTTGCATTGACTTTGATTTTTTAATAGCCGGTGCTGCTATCTGACCAGAATTTATTAACTCTTGATAGATTTTGCCCTTACATGACCGGGAGATTTTTTTCTTTGGTATTAAAGTGTCATCTTCACTGCTGTTACTGGAAAAGCTATTCTCATTGTAGAGCGGACGTTTCAGCGACTTCGTTTCTACCAATTCCGTATCGTCAACGTTGCCCGTAATATGAGACCTTATAAATTGTGATGTTTCTCCAAGGGCCTGTTGTAAGGCACATTGTTGTGGTCCAGATTTATTTTGCATTAATTGACTTAAATCGCCCATTTGTGCCTCATCAGCTAATTTGAAATAATTTCTATTGCTGTGTGATGCAGTGGTGATGTGGTGGTGATGATAATTGCCACAGCCATCACCATTCTCCATTATATCTCCGTTGCCACCACCTTCGGCAATTTGATTTGGACGTATATTTAGAGTACGTAGGGGTGGTGCTGGCAGTTTGTACCATTTAAAATTGGGATTCGCTGAGAAGAAGGCATCTTTGTTCTATAAGGGAAAGAATGAGAAGTGGGAGAATAAATATACATATTTATATTTTTATCTTGGCAAAATTAAAACAATGCTAGAAAACATATTTAAAACTTTACATTCCACTTGACATCGCAGTAACCTGACAAATAGATGCCTACTTGGTTTGTGTGCTTAAAATGGTTCATGGTTAAAAAATATTTTTAAAAAAAACACGCCCAAATCTGCTGATTAAAACTTATTTTTAAGAAATCCAACCCTATGGGTGGTTAAACAATAATTAAGAAATAATAATCCACTTTAAGGCTGTTACTTTAAAAAAAAATTAAAGAATCAATGCTTAAGGCTGATATTTATAAAAATATTCTTAAAAAATGCACGCATAGACTGTATCTTGTTCCTTATTTGTACAATACTGGTGGCCAGAACTAAAGCAACTGAAATTGCAAACTGAATAAATGACCTTTAACTTTTTTGAAAATAAAGTTATAGTGAAAGTTTTTTTCAGATATAAACTAAAGCAACTTTTGGATATTTTCTTACAAATATAATCAATAAAATGCTCAATTTGATCCTTGGGTATGCCTTCCATTCTGAAGAGGTTATGTCTGCTTGTTTGTGAAACTCTAACGATTTTTCTATAGGCTAAAGATCGGATGGTTGTGTTGCCCATTATAAAACCCTGATCCCTGGCATGTTTTGATGTATGTTTGGTGGTAATTGCCAAGCGGAAACACCTAAACAAGCGGTATATTTTCTTCAGCGAACGTTTTCCAACACAATATACATATGATTAATATAAACACTTACCTGTTGAGCCAAATTCGTAAAACATTCTTTATCACTGGCATCTAGTGATGCCCACCAATCACCCAAGATTTTTGTTATAGCCCTGTAAAAATATGAAAAAAAAAGAATTAGCATAATAAAATCAAGCAAGAAGTATCATTTAAATCATATAATTTCAGCCACAATTCTACAATTTAAAAAATTCATTTTTTTCAATTACTTTTTTTAATATTATCCTTTTTTAATAAATCCTTTCCACGAATTATTAAAAACGTACCTATTTTCCAAATTCTTATAACGTTCCTTGACAATAGCACGATGACGTTTACAAAATATTAAAAAGGCATTCATTGGACGACGAGCATGATGATCGGGCTTATTCACAACAGAATCACCACCCCTAGATATTCCACAATTGGTTATTGTTGCTGTAGCTATGGTGGGATTTAGTAAATTAGGATTATCTATTGTTTCCACATCTACATCAACATGAATATCACCATCTTCATCGCTATGTTCCTTTCTGGTTATTGTGTGATGTTTTGTTTGTGGGATCGTCAAATTTGGGCACCGTTTATTAATATTATTATAAGTTGTACTAGTAGTCGTCGTAGCATTGGGTTTTGTTTGTTTTTCCACCATTCTACTAAATGCACCACCCACATCCATTGATGTTTGTTTCTGTAATTTGGGATATTTTCTACGTTTAATTATGTCTTCGTAGACACCATCCAAATCGATCATTTCATCTTCTTCGGCATCATAATCAGCATCATTCATGTCATCATCTTCACCATAGTCGTCTTCTTCGTTATCATCGTCGCCGTCATCTTCCTCATCATCTAAGTAGCTACTGTTACGGCTACCATTTGGCGATTGACTATCTGAGGTGTCATCTTCATAGGATTTCAATTTCGCATAATTATGAACAATTTCAATACGACGATGGGCATGTTCTTGATCTTCAGTACGTCGTGGCAATAAAACCATCATTGTTTTTTGTTGTTGTTGCTGGTGGGGCAGCTGCTGCTGCTGTGGTTGTTTATTTATAAAGCCATTCTGTTTGTAAAATAATTCGTTATTATTTGTCTCCATTGGGGGTGATGATTTACTATTGTAACTGCTACTGTTGTTGTTATTATTGTTATTGCTATATATTTTACGTATATTTAAGTCTAAATTAAAGGCACTTTTAGTTGTTTCTAATTCAGCATCAGTTTTTCCACTTTCGTTATGCATTTCTTCCATTGGTTGTTCTTGGTGATTTTGAGTGTCACCATCCGTATCCGTATCCACATCCACAATTTTATTTTTGGCCGTATTCAATAGATTACAAATATTATTCCAACAATCATTATTTTGCAACTTTTTATGATTCTCCAATAGTTGTACCTTAACACGTTCCTGCTGTTTTGGTTGCTCCTCGGCGACCTGATGGTGATGCTGGTGGTGATCAACACCGCCGTTAACAATATTATAAAAAGTACGACTTGCTGCAGTGCTGGCAAACAGTTGATGATGTGTTCTTGTGGTTGAGTTGGTAGTGTTCAGCTTTTCCATACTCAACAATTTTGGTTTTAGAAATTCCAGTGTATTTACGCTATTGATCATTCTTCTTGGGTCTATGAAATCATTTGATATTATTTCGAGATGAGTTGTAATTTTTTTGTGGGCGCAATGGTATTCTTTTCAAAAATTGATCATTGAAAATAAATGATAATGCTGTAAATAAAAAATAAAAGATTTATAATTTTATTATTAAATATATTAAAGTTGAAATTCAAACAATTTTTAAATTAAAAAACTAAGATTTTTAATATTTATTATAACAAAATTCAAATAATTGACAGAATATTTGATATTAGGTACGTTCGTTTACTCAATAATTTGTACAAATTCTTACAAAATGTGGTTCGTTTACTCAAAAGTCCAGTAACAGATAGTGAATTGATAGAGCAGATTTGACAGTTTGTGTTACTGAGTATTTGCAAATTCTTACAAGGAAATATTTACCCATTAAGAAAATGCAAGTATTTATAATCAATTTTCCGTTCGTTTTCCATTTTTCTAATAAAAATGCTGCTTTTTTGTATGCCAAATTTGTTATTGTATTAATTAGCTTTGTCTATACAAACATTTTACAGGATGTCGTTCGTTTACTTATTGCATAAAAACATAAATTCGTATTTTACCCTCTGCATATTCTTACTGAGTAAATGTTACTGGGAAAGTAAACGAATGGACCTAATAATTATTATAGTAATAACGAAAATTCAATAGGGCACAATTATATAACAACATTCCCCTTTTATTGCAAGATAATAAAAGTGCAGTAACAGAGAGGGAGCAGATTGATTTTTAATCACCTGATTTTTCTTTAGTTGATTAATCAGCTGTTATCTGGATGATGTGATTAATTTTCAAAATTTTGAGCAAAAATTAAATTTTATATTTTTTTTCAGAATTATCGATGAAATCGGAAAACCGAAAAACTAAAATGTATTTACTAATATTGCATTTTTAATTCCAGTTTTAAATATAAGTTTAAAAATATTTTTTCTTTGTGTTTCTACCGGATTTTTATGGACGTTTACTTTTGGCAATTGTATTCCTTGAGAAATCAAACTCTTGTTGAGTATTCAAAAATTTTACCATAAAAACTTGTAAATTGTCATAGGCTACGTTTAGATTACTAAATCCACTCGATCTCAAATGTCAATTCCATTGCGTATACGTTACGTTAATCCTGTTCACAAATTCATGTGTAATTACACATATCGTGTATAATTTGTCATTGCATGTGTAGCCCATGTGTAATTTATTTTTTTTTGGCGTTTTATAACACTATAAATAGCTCAAACTTCTGGAATATACTTAAAAACTTTAAGTATATTCCAGAAGTGGCAAAATGTTTTTAATTTAGTGGCAAAAAGTTTTTAATTTAAAAAAATCGCTAGGAAACGAATTATTTTCAATATTAAAAAGAGTTATTAACATTCTTTTAATTCTTGCATTCTCAAACGCTTCTGCAGAAAGGACATTTAGCTCTTTAAAAATTTGCAAATCAGATTAAAGAAACAAAATGTTTTCAGAAACTGTTGCTGCAATTTTATTTACAAAAGAAGGCATACGAAGGAATGGAGGCCCAAACATTGAACCCACACAAGATATGTACAATAGCAATTGGAAGAACTAATCATATATTTTTGAATAAATTGTATTTTTTGGAATTAAATTTTTTAGTTATATATTATTATATACTTTTTGTATGGAATTCATTTAAGTTTCTTTTTGTCCTACATAGTATTTATAAACAAAATAAAAAAATGTTGATACATGTGTAAATTTTCCCCAAATGTGTAATTTTTGTATTCTCCATGTGTAATTTGTAGCTTCGTTGGTGGCAACACTGAATGGAATTGCCATTTGAGATCGAGTGGATTTCGTAAATCTAAACGAGATTATACGAGGGCAATTCGGATAGTTCTTAGCCTATCACAAAAAACGTGGTATATTCAATAACATGTTAAGTGTTTTGAAACTTCCATCTCTATTATGAACATACTTGTCGAAAACAAAAACATTTACTTGACAAACTGAATTCTATTTAATATACAATATTTTGTGTACAATATGGCAACATTTCCTTTTATACCTGCTGATCGATAAACAAGCTAATCCATGCAAAAGCTCAATAACTTCAAAACACACACAAAGTGTATGAAAGAGAACGAGAGACACAGAAAAAAAACAAAAGGGAGACAATCACTTGCAAAAATTTGTTTACAAAACAAAATTTTTGTGTTTTCTTTTTTGACAACAACAACAAAAACTCTCTTCACACTCACACACACCAATAAAACCTCACTCAATTACTCATGAATCTGTGGCCAAAGCAGAGAAAACAAGTCAAATTTGCAGGTGAAGTGGAGAACGAACAACAAACAAAAAGAAAATACGATTAAAAAAATAACACATCAAAATGCATAAAAAATTGACGACGACGAAACAATCAAAAATGAAAAATGGATCACTCTCTCTTTCATAAATGGTATTCAGTTTTGTATTTTTTTTTCATTGAATTTAAGTTATACACTTTTTTTAATTGATTGAAATTATAACTGTTTTATTTTTATAAATTTTTAACTGTAATTTTGTTGATTTTTCATTGATGATTTTTTTTTTTTAACAAAAAGAGAAATTAAAATTATTCGATTTTTTTCGTAGTGATCTTGAAGAATTATACTGTAGAAATAATATTATATTATTAAAAATTGCAATAATTTTTGTTGTCTTTTTTCACATTTTTAATATAAAACAAAAAATTTCAAACTTACGTTTTTTATAAAATTTAAATAGTTATTTTTTTATAAAATACTATAAACAGTTTATGAATATTGTTTGAAAATTATTTTTTTCTTTTAATAATTATTTTTTAATTCACGAATTGCACTCGGATGGTCGGTTGGTTCCTTGTGTGGTCTTTTGGATATTGTTGCTGTTTAATGAATGCGCTACGCTGCGGGGCTACGTGTACACAGATACGAAACTCAATTACCCAAAGTCAGTGTACTTCGTTTCGTTCGTTGTTGGAGAGCTTAAACAACAATTACAACTACAAACGCACACACACATAAGCAGCAAGAAAAAGCCAACCCACCAATATTTTTGAAAATATTGGCGACGCCAACAACAACAAGAGTGGATGAGAATTTGTTTGTTGATATTTGCTTTTGCCCCGTTATATTGTTGTTGGTATTTGATTGCCTCTCTCTCTCGCGTTCACTTGAACTTGATTGTTTTTGTTGTTTTTATAAAGAAAACATACAGGGCAGTATGTGTGTGTGTTCGCCTGCATATAATATTTTTTTGTATCTGAATTGTTGATAAATATGCACACACAGATACTAACCTAACCCACACCCATACATATTGTAATGCAAATGATAAATGCAGACGTATGTATGTGTGAGGGGATATAAACAAAGGATGATTTTTGTTTTTTTTTAGCATAAATGAAATCTATAATAGAATACAATTGGAAATTAAAAATCTAAATAAAATCATAGTTATTTTTTAAAATTCTAATTGTTTTATGTGAAGAATATTAAATAACATAATTGAAATTAAAAAAAAATCACTATTCTCCTATTTGTTAATAACGAAATAAAAGTTGTTCACTCACACAATTGCAGCTCTTGTCATTTGACAACTTTGTGGTCGCTCTTTTAAACATTTCTCTCTTCTACACCAACACAGCAATGTTGTTGCTTTTTGTTTTCGTTTTAACACAATAACAAAACACACACAAAAATTTGCAATCAGCTGATGACGTTTATTTTTCAAAACAAAATGTACGAAAACAAATGGATTTGTTTGTAAATAACTTTTGCTTTGTGTTTGTTTGGAATTACTTATTATTTTTTGAGGTTATGTTTAAAATTTTGTCATAATTTGTATTTTGTTAAGAAATTAATCAACAATATGAAATACAATTTAATGATGATGTCAATTATAATTCTCAATTTGTCTCTGACAAGAAGTGTAATAGCAAAATAATTGAGTTTTTTTAAGAAATTTATAAAATGTACTTATTGTTGCTGGTTGGCGTTTGTATTCTCATTTTTCTCATTTGCTCTTATTCTTATATGAATGTTAAGAGTTGCCATTAGTCTGTGCAAATGATTGAAATTAAAAAAATACCTCAAGGGAATGAAATTCCAAGTAGGAGCAAGGTATAATTTATAATATTCTTGGATCCATTATTAAAATATATTTGTTTCGAGCCCAACGCTTTCAAAGCGTCGATCGATTGGAATTTCTATGTTATAGTCCATTTACATTGTACTTGTTTCGATTATAATCGTTAGCCCCACACATAGTTCCTGAAGCATAGAAAGTAGGCAGGGTTGTCCCGCTACTGAAGTCTAACAAGGATGCCAACAGAGGTGGAGAGGGGACAATGACACTTGAAGCCCTACTTTTGCCATCGATGAAAAGAAATTTTCCAGTAG